GGCTCTACAGAGCTAAAATAGAGTTAGGCCTGCTGCAGTGAACTCAAACTGTTGAGGTATTCTGGTAGATGAAGGGAAGAGGTTGTGCTTCAGATGCCCAGAGGATCCCTCCTCCCCTGCATATCTCTAACAGCACTGCTGGTTCCAGAAGACAATACAGTGGCACCTTGGCACACGAACTTAATCCGTTCCAGGACTCTGGTTGTGACCCAAATTGGCCGTGAGCCATTAAATTTCCCCATAAGGTTCAATGTAAATAAGGTTAATCCGTTCTGTAACTCTTCTTTAAATCAGAAAAATGTGAAGCAAAGTGACAACAACAAAGATCATGGCCATCTCCCCCGCTCACCCCAAGCACAAGCGCAGCCATCTCCCCGCCCCACCCCCAGCATGACCGAGATTGTGCCTGTTATCCCTGCAGGTGCCCGTCATCCTTGCAGGCACCCGTCATCCCAGCACGCGCCCATCATCCCGGCATGCTGGGCAGTGGCGGGGGAGAGACGAGCATGATCGTGGGCGCACCGGGGTAGGGAGAGACGGGCACAAATGGCGTGCTGGGGCTGGGAGAGATGGGCACAATCTTGGCCATTTCCCCCCCCCACCCCCACTCAGGGGGTGGGGAGATGGCCGCGATCGCAGTTCCGTTCATGCAGGGAAGGCGTGCCTGATCAGAGGCGTGCTCCTGCAGGAAAGACAGGCGGAATCTCGGCCATCTCCCCCACAGCTCTGCTTTGCTGCCCCCAGCTTTCCTGCAGCAGCACGCCTCTGATCACATATGCCTTCCCTGCACAAAAGCAACTGGGATCATGGCGATCTCCCCACTCGGGGAGGGGGGGGAGATGGCTGCGATCTTGGTCACCACCCAAAGCGGTGTTTGTGACCCAAGTCAAAATTTTTCAGAAATTTTTGTTCGTGACCCGATTTGTTCATGAACCAAGGCATTCGTGAGCCAAGGTACCACTGTACTGGACTAGTTGGACTAAACATCTGACTCAGTGATGACCAGATTCTTCAAAGGAGTAACAGTGAGGGCCGAACTACGTGATGCACTTAAAATCTGTGACTCTTTCACCTTTCTTCCTCTCTCTCCCTTTCACACACATTCTTACTTTTTACTGAAATGCAACCATAGGGAGCTGAAAATTTGCTCAGAGCAGCAAAGCTGAGGTAGAGTTGCTTACTACCCCTCATTTCTCAATCTAACAACTACTGGTATAACAACAAAATATACCAGACAAAAATACTACATAGGGAATTACCAGCAGTGTAAGGGCAGGGGAGTGAAGAAAGATGTGATTTACCTGTCACTTATCTCCCGCATAACATGCTTTGCTCTGGGGTTATGCGTTATCAAGACTTAATAAACAGTAGCAAATGGCAGTAGAGACAAAACAAGTTACTAGGTATTTTAACATGAGGATCAAAGCTAATACTTTTAAGAGAAGTATGAGACACATGACCTGACAAGCAGTATCATGTGACAGAGTTCCTGAGGGACAGGACCATTTCAGAGTAATTCATTTCAAACATTGACATACCACATTTAAGTCCCTTACACGCTTCTTAAGGCAGTTCACACAATTAAAATAAAATCATATATGCCTATCATTATAAAATATATCATTATAAAATCACAACAAAATCTAAAACATGCTCATCACTGAAAAAACCTGAGCTAGTTTCCAGCTGATGAATAAAAGTGGATGTTAACAGTTAGATCTTTAAAACCTGATAAAAACATGCAACAGGGAGGGGAGACAAGAACATTATCAGGTGCAGGGAGTTCCACAATGATGGAACCACCACTGAGAAGACCCTAGTATGATGAACTTCACCCATGGGTCAGAGAACAGTGTCCAAGCAGCCAATCTTAATGGCCAATATGCTCATATGGATGCAGGTGGTTCTTCAGACAGCCCAACTCTGAACTATTCAGGCCTTTAAAGATACTAACTAGCATCTTGAGCTAGGCCCAGAACATGCCTTGTACAAAACTGGTATAATTTTGTTTCAAAAGAGCCAAGGTGGTGCAATTCCTTTGAATGCTGGTCACAACTCTCTGCTGAAAATGGCAGATTTCCTTACTTACATCTAGCTTAATCTTGAATCAGTAGCCCTTTTCCAACCCAGAACTGCCTCCAAACCTCTGTTCAAGACTTTTACAGCCTCCCTGGAGCTTACAGATGGAAATGTGGGGTAGAGGTGTGTGCTCTCCACAAATCCCTTCCTCCATTATGAAAAAGCCCACAGGACATAGACTGTACAAATTATACCCCAAACAACAGAATTGGCTAACCTTTAACTAAAGAACTACCTGAGCGAGCTACGGAGCATTCATAAGGCAGAAATATTAAGAACGGCAAGCTCTACCGTATCCTTCCTCTCAAGCCCCCAAATTATTCCTTCATGCCCCCGAAATAGCATTTTATTCACCTCCCAAACCCCCATTTATTAGCACAGCTGCTCCCACTCTTAACCAGAGGAAAGGATAAGTCTGTGGTTGTTGGACACTAAACAGAAACACCTGTGTCTCTCTTGGCTTTCCTTTTCCCATATATACATGAGTGCGTACTTGTCGTATCTTTCCTTCGAAGCACTAAATCCCCTGTTCTGAAAATGAAAATAAATCCCTCTCTTACATACTCTCCCATAGGCCCACGTGGCTCTGACAGACAAGCACAGGCGGGGCAGCAAATATTTCACTTCATCTTATTTTAAAAGAAAAGGAGAGCAAGAATTCTTGTGGCATTCCGGAGGTCCCAGGACACTCATTCCAAATGCCTGAGTTGAGCCCTGAGTGACTTGGAGCCTAAAAAAGAGCGTGGATTTCTAGGCAGCCACCCAAATTCAACACAGACACTATTCTATCTGATTCTTTTTTTTCTTCTTTTTTTGTAATGACCAAAAGAGAAATAAGGGTGGTAAAAAATATAGGGGTGGGAGAGGTTGCAGAGTTAGGAAAGAAGGAACATGCTATGCACAAATCAGTCAGGATACTCCTCCAAAAGGGTATAGTATGAGGGTTTTAACTAGGGAAAAGAGAGGTTGATTGTATTCAGACATGATTGTGCAATGACTAAGCTGCTGTCAATGTTGCATCTCTCTTAGAAGTTGTCTCTGCCTGGGGGCCAGCGCAGACCTTTTCATCTACATTTGGCCACTGCCAAAAAGCTCTTCTTCATGGAAGCAACAACATCTACAAGTTTTCTGTTCTGGTTAGCCCAAATACATAGATTCATTCATTTGCTCCAGCAGTCCCAGGGGATGTACCATTACCATGGGATTGCACATGTTTGGAAAGCCAGATGAGGTAAGACTTTAAATTCAAACACCTCCAAATGACAGCACTACTATGAGGAAGAGAGTTTTGGCAGTGCTTGGTTTCTGTCCCTGCAAACCTGCCATCTGTGTGCATGCATGTCAATAACACCTACATGGTTTGACTGAAGAACAGATTTTGGATATCACAGCCCAGCATCCAATGCAACACTGATGCCCCCACCAATCTTCTGCCCTGCTAATTCCATCATGCCAGCAGCTCTGTTGCTTGCCCACCAACAAATTTATCACTTTCGAGGACAACTTGAAAGGACACTTGTTCCTGGGAGCTCCACCAACTTGCCTCCTTCCAGTAATGAATGTTTCCACTCATTTCAGGGCTTCCCCTCAGAAGCACTAAACCTCCTGCACATAGGTGGAGGGTTCCACTGGTGCAACCAGACTGGGCCGGCCCTGTCACTTGCAGAAGTGAATTGGCAGCATGGCAGAGAATAATTGGGGCACAAGGAAATGGGAAGGGGCATAAAATCCCCACTGGATATTGCCCACAGTGTCACAGTTGACCATGCTTTTCATAAAGTTGCAAGAAGCATTTATCTCTAGGCTTGAGGCATTCACCTAGACTCAGGTATTTTCCTTGACCCTTCATGATATCGGAAGGACTGCCTCCTCCCCTATGAACCTGCCTGTCCCTTAAGATCAGGCCAGGAGGCACTTCTGCAAGTTCCGTCCCTCAAAGAGGGGAGGGGGAATGGCAAATAGATGTAGGGCCTTCTCGGTGGCTGCTCCCTGCCTCTGGAATAGCCTCCCCTGGGACGGTCGTCTAGCACCATCTCTATTACACTTTTGTTGGCAGGCAAAAAAATTTTTTATATCCTGCCTTCCCCTGCACAGCTGTTTTGTCTGGTTGTTGTTGTTATTATTAGGTTTTAAATTTTGATAATGAACTTTTATTTTTATTTCATACCTGTTTTTGTCTTTATATATGCATTATACATGCTTTTACCTTTATTGTAAGCTGACTGGAGACTATGGTAATAGGTGGCATATCAATGAAAATATGCATAAACAAACAAGCAAACAAATAAATAAATGTTCTTGGTCATTTCTCACTGAGATACAAGGGCCCTGGCCTAGCAGATAAAGGCCAAGAAAAATCTGGTCGTACATAATCTGGAGCTTCTAGGTTGTGCTAAAGCCTGTTGCTGACCCCACTCTTTAAGCAGCGGACTCAAAGCACACCAGGTACACTGGTGTTTTCTCATGCAAAGTCTGGTTAGCATAATTGCATCCCTAAATATTAATGAGCCTCCTCCTCTGCATTTTATCCTCACAACAACCTGTGAGTTAGGTCGGACCAAGAATCAACAATTAAGTTCACTGACAAGATGGTTAATACTCCATGACATGTTATTTAACTTTTCCAGCCAGCCACCCCAGAGACCCACCCTCACTGGGTTCAGATGTCATCACAAACTGTGCCAAGCAAAGATTATTAAATGGGACTGCATATGCCGGGGTGGCTAACAAGTCCCCAGAGTTTATTAACCACACTCCTGGCCCTGCTCATTTATGTGTCTGAAAAGGGTTATCTGGCCAAAAGATTCCGACTCAGTAACCCTTTTAATAGCAATACTCTTTGATAGCCCGTAGGTGAATAATTTCCAGTGTCCTGATCGAGAATGAAAGAAATACAAAAATATAGTGTTCCTATGCCTCACCTCACTCAGTTTGGCCCAGTTGAAAGACTTCAGTGGGTGAGACGGCTGCGGGATAGACTTCTTCTTTAGGCTGGTGGTGCTGCCGCTGCTGCAAGTTGTGGGGGCACTGGTGGAAGGTGGAGGCATGCCCATGTTGAAGAATGGTGGTGCCCCCGGAGGGGGAGGTGGTCCTCCTGGAGGGGGCGGTGGAGCTGGTGGAGGGGGGCAGCTGGAGAATGGCAGAGGTGGTGGAGGAGGTGGTAAGGTATCCGATGAAGGTAGAGAAGACAAGGCAAATGGGTCACCAGGAGGTAGCTGAGGAGGGGGTGGGAAGGAAACGTTGCCTGCCTGCTGAAAAAGAAAAGAGTGATCTGATGGTAGTTTCTAACTAGAGCTGAGACAACGCACTGCCCTCCACCATTTTTTCATATGGCCATTCACAGGTCATATTGAGCCAGGGGTCAGACTAGATGACCCGGGAGACCCCTTCTGACTCACTCGTTTCTATGTTTCTAGGAAAGCAGAAGGGCACATTTTGCAGGGGGTTGGAGAAAACGCACATTTTCAGGCCACCATTTACTTCTCCTAACAGGGGAATCCAAATGATGCTGCATCATGACACCATTCAGGGCAGCGGTATGTAAGAAAATTCAGGGACCAGCCTGTTTAGAAGAGTGCTACCACTGTGGCAAAAAAAGTGTGTGTTTCAGTGACTGTATGTGCACTTGTTTTAGTGAATTGCTTAATAGTCCATGAGTATTTACTGTATCTGATGAAGCAGGTCTTTATCCACAAAAGCTTCTTTTTGTGGCTACTGTTTTACTGCTTTGTGTAATTTTAATTCAACACTGATTTGCTATCTAAGAGAACACCGCAACATTCTGTATTATTTTGTAAGTCACCTTACAAGCTTTTGTTGAAAGGAAACCTAGAAATATTTTAAAGAAATAAATGTCACAAATATGTTAGCATTTATGCTTCATAAAGACCATTTCCTTTGTAAGAAATTAATACATTATTGTTCTGTTTCTTAAGATAAATAGTTTTGCTTTCTTTCTCTGTGCCATTTGATGGGAATTGTTGTTTGGGAAATACTGTATTTCCCATCTGGCTTTTCTGTGCAAGTTGGCTTAATTCTAGTTTAAGGTACAATTGTATGCAAGCTATGCTGTCTGAGAGGCCGGGAGACAGGATTGTGCCCTTAGTTGCTGCTCTCCCTGCTTGCCACTTGATCAAGCTGGAGGTAAGCCCAGTCAAACAATCTTCCGGTGAATGGGCAGAGATATGCAGTTATTTACCACCAAGCACAATAGTCACTTCAGTGCATGGAATGCACAATACATGGAAGCAACGCAAAAAGAAAAATCCCTGAGTGTGTGATTCTAATTCTGTTAATTCTGTAGACCTTATGGAACATTACACAAACCTTTCAGCTAGCTTATGACTGTCTAAAAACTTTTGTACCCTCTTGCTTTTTTGGTAAGAATGGGTGCAGAAAATTTTAGGCTCAGTGCAGCTCCATATGGATTACAATAAGAAGCAAAGGCCCCACTTCCTACCGAAAACTCATTGAGTTGGACTACAAGGTCCCGAGCGTGGCGTAGCTCCAGCGATTCTTTCTGCAGCTTGTCTTTCATTTTATTCAAAGTCTTCATCATTTCATCTTTCTCTTGGGTCTTTATTTCACATTCCCTTTCCTTCTTCTCTAGCCTACTCAACAGCTCAGCATGTTCTGCAGAAAACAGAATAGAGAAGATTAACATGCGATGGATGTTTTCAGGCAACCCTGGGCACAAATCACCTCAGAAGGGTCTATGGCTATGATACATAAAAGCTAACGCTGACATGCATGGGGTGGGGGGGTTACATATTCAGTGTGTGTGGGGGGCATATTCAGTGTCAGCAGGGCACCAGATGTGACCAGGAGGCTACAACTATGTATACACACTCACACAGGGGAGAGTGCTTTACCCTCACTATAAGCAAATCTGTGAAGGTAACTGGAGCTGCAAGGAAAAGCTTTGAGCAACTCCAGCTGCCAGCAACTCACTATTTCTCTGCCACCATGAGAAAAATGGACACTGTGGTAATCATGTGGGGTGGGATTTAGCAGTGACTGGACAACTTATGGCTGAGGGACAAATATATTCCTCCTCCTGGGCATCTCTAGAATACATGCAAGACAAACACGGTAGAGAAATCAGCAGATGATGACAACCTGGGGTGCTTGTGAGTGAGAGAGATGTTTCTAGCTCACTCAGTGTGTAACTGGATCAAATCACTGTCCTAAAGACACAAGTCACCATCTGAACATAAAAAGAGCCATGCTGGTCCCTCTAGTCCAGCATTCTGTTCATGCAGCGACTAACTAGTTGTCCACAGGAAGCCCACAGGCAGGACATGTGGGCTACAGCACTCTTCTGCCCACATTCTCTGGCAATTGGGGTTTATAGGTGTACTGTCTGTGTTAAGGCAAGTAGCACATAGCCATCACAACTAGTAGCCACTGATAGCTCCCATGAATTTGTCCAATCCCCTTTTAATTCACCCAAACTGATGGCCATCCCTCCATCTCCTGGAAGTGTATTTGATAATTTAATTAGGAACTGGGTATAGAACATTTGATCTGAGAAAAGCTGCCCTCTTCTCCACTGTCTGAAGATACACCATTGCATCTGCTTCCTTCTCTGTTATGCCAGAGCACAGTGCAATCTCTTACCTTTTCGGAATTTCTCTGCCTGATCTCTCCACTGCTTCACTTCGTTCTCATTTACCAACCTGCATGAAGATAAAGACAAATCACTAGGGCTCCATTCCAAAGTAATTAAATCATCTATTTATTCAATTTATATTCAGCATTAAATTAGACTGAGGCCTCTCTAAGCAGATGGAACTCTATATACAAAGTGTTCCTTTTTTAATGTATCACATAACTGAAGTCTGCAGGTAATTATCATGCTTCTTACATCTTGATGATGTTCTTGACATTGAAGTTCTCCAAAGGAGCAATATCTGGATCATCTCCTCGCTCATCCTGAAGAACAATTTGCTGCAGTATCCTATCCAACAGCTGCCATTGCTGAAAAGTTCCTCCATTTCGTTTATCTGTAATAATGAATGCCAGTAGGGAAATAACAAATAACAATGATCACAATTTTACTGACTATTAGCACCAGTTTTCTGTGAATGTTATCACTGTGCCATTTAACAATACAATTTCTACTATGATTATTGCTTATCTAACTTCTTGCTTACTGAATTATTATATTACTTATTCATAAATAACTATGACGTTATCCATATTTAATATACAAGGGTTCTTCAAAAAGTTTCTGCACTTTTAAAAACTATTAAGAATTTCAAAAACAAGTTACATCACTTTTCACATAGTCACCTTCCTTTGCGATGCATTTTTCCCAGCATCATACCAACTTTTTAATGCCATCAGCAAAAAATATATAAAATATATTTATAAAATATAAAAGTGTGGAAACTTTTTGAAGTCTCCTTGTATCTTAGTAGTTTACAAGAGAATTTTTAAAAACATTAAAAAATACATTATGATATTCATTAACTGGTAATTACAATATATAAAACTTGCTAATATTAAGACACATTTTTAATTAAACTATTTAAAACAAAGCAATGAAGAGAGACATTATTTATTTATATTATAATTATTTTAACCTAGTGTTGTAAGCCGCCCCGAGGCTTTGGCGAATGGGGCGGCATAAAAATGTTTTAATAAATAAATAAATAAATAATAAATATGTCCTACAGCATGTCTAGGTGGCCACACAATCCTTCAAATTCTCAGATCCATGTCTGGAAAGAGAGGTGCAGCCTTGGAGCTACAGATCCACTCTACAACCCTGCTCTCCTACTCCTCACAGCCAGTGTGGAAAGAGCTGTGCCAGGTGCTTCTCCGAGATCAGGAAAACAGCCTCAAAGAGGGGATAAAGAGGGGAGGAACATGGGACGGGCAGGACAGGAGGGATATTCATTGCACTTTAGCCTCTTGCCCTTTCATTCCCAAGTGCTGCAGCTCAGCAGCCCAAATTAGCTATCTAGCTGAACTGCAGCACAGAGGCAGTGGGAAGGCAGAGATCACTTCTGCTTCTCACAGTTTGCACTGGATGCTCGTAAGCCTCTAAGTATGGAAGCTTACAAGCCTCAGTGGCTCAACAGATAGGAGGGTAGCCTAGAAAGGATAATTACAGACTAGTAGATGGGCCACACTCTCTGTCAGGGAAAGCCAGGGAAAGGAATAGGTCTTCATTTAGCACCTAAAGCATGCCACAGTTCATTTTGTGCCTCTCAATAACCAGAAGGGAAAATATTTCACAAGCTGGGTGCCAGCACAGAGAAGGCCTACTCTGTGGTTGTTGCAAGATAGCAATCTGCAGCAATCACAGCCCAAGTCATCCTCAGATTATCTTAATGGCTACAAAGGACTGCAGTGGGAAAGGTGATCTGCCAGGTAACCTGGTCCGACTGTTCAGGGCTTTATATTCCAACGGCAAAATACTGGCTCAGTAGCTAACAAGTAGCCAGTGCAGTTGTCGCAACACTGGTGTGATAGGTATGTGGTCAGGCATCCACCTCAGCACACTGCCTGCTGCATGCTGCCCCAGCTGCCAGTTCTGAACCAAGCATGAAGACAGTCCCACACAAAGCACATTATAGTGAGCTAAGTGTGTGAGATTACCAGTGCATTGACTATAGTAGCCAGGCTTCACCAGGGCATAGCAGATACATCAGAGCTGGTAATATGCACATCTCATCAGAGAAGTCACTTAGGCTTCTAATGACGACAGACCCAGGAGCTCCCCCACGCTGTACAGCAGCTCTTTCTGAGGCAGTGCAAGCCTGTTTAGAACCCATTCTCAATACACACCCAGGATCCACCAACACATGGAGTCCGCACTTTGCCAGGATTCAGGTCATGACTCCTGCATGTGTTGAATGCTAGCACCCTACTTTAAAAATAGGACTACAATAGTTGTAGGTTTGATTCGAAAGCCTAATTCTGCCTTCAGTAGGAAACAGGACCAAATATTTCTGTTCAGAAATGATCCTTTAGCAAGACCAAAATTAGCATGGATGCAAATAGCTTTTACTGTTACTAGATGAGTAAATCAAATGGCTTAAAATTCCCCAATTTGTATCATATGCCTAGAAGAGAAATAACTAATTTCATGTTTCAATTAGGGCTTGAGAACCTTTTACTTATGCATTCCCATGAGGTGCCAGCAAAATTAAGTGCTTTCTGTAAAATCTCCCTTTAATGATAATCAAGTTTTCATTTGATGGAGAGGCATTAATCCTTATTCTGTCTCAATTAGAGGTGGCACCTGTTTCTCAGGCCCTGAACACAAATGTTCTTTTTATATTTTTCTTTGAAAACTAATAATTAAATCAAGGAGGACTTTGTTTCCAGATGGACATCGTCCAACTACTCTCTTTTGATTGCTAGCTAAGCAAGAAGTGGCTGTTTCATGTTTGGAGATCTTAAGTGAAAAAAAACATTTTAGAAGAAATATGTGGTGAGGTCAGCATTAGCATGCTTGCAGCTTCCTTCTGGTTGTGGGAAGATGGTGACTCTCATGGCAACACTTGTTGCATGGTCAGAATGTGAAGGCAGCAGTTGTGCACAAGGTTAGAACAGCCAGACGGATGCATTTTTAAGCACTGATACTTAGCAACTTGTGCTCTGCTTTCATGATTTCTCAGATCTACTGTATGGAAGCAGGATCTTCCTCCCAACCACTAACCAGTATCAGTCAGTATTTGAACATTTCTATTGGACCACTGACATCTAAGAATGTGGTCTAAAGGGGATACTGGCTGGAAATGATAGGAATCATAGTCCACCATATCTGGAAGACACCAGTTTGGGGAAAGCTGCTCCATATAAAATGTTGAGGCTTTGTCCTTGAAAACCTCTCAGCAACTCCTCTGTCTTGCTCCACCAACCATTGTTCAAGAATATTTGTGCAGAGATAAAAAGAACATCAAAAGGTTCTCAGATTTCTGTGTCCAATATCAAAATCTGAATATTTTTCTAAATTTGAACAGAACTGTAGAATACAAATAGACCTGGCTTTAATTCTTATATAATGCAAGGGAAAGGAAGGATGAACTGAACTCATTGAACTGAATGACTGACCACAGCTGGACTGTGGAAGGACCCAAGTCTCTAAAATTCCAGAATGGCATGTAAACAATCCATACTCAAAAAATTTCCCAGTAGTGCCAGACCTAGGAAGAAGTAATATACTCACAAGGCATTTGCAAGCAGTGCTGCAGTACAGACAGTAAATATGGATAAGCGTCTGTGTGCTTCAACCTCTTCTTGACCATCTCAAACATCTGTGAGGCACTCTTTGTATCAATATGCACCTACAGTAAAATTAAAGTGGGAAGAGAAGGCACAGAATAAAATCACATCAGATGAGATACGCTCCAGATTTTATAGCCAAATGTCACACAGCACGAATTGGGAAGATAAACTTCAGACTGAAAAATGGACAGCAGGAGTTGCTGGACAACTAAAATTGTCAAGGGGCGGAAGCAATCCTCACTAAAGAAGGGTTGTCCTGTATAGCAAGCATGGGGAAACATGACAGAGGTGCACAAAGTTATGCATGCTATGGAAAAAGTGGATAGGGAGACTTTTTCTCTTTTCTTTCTCATGGTATGATCACCTGGGTTCATCCCATGAAACTGAGGTGGGAGATTTAGGACAGGAAAAAGGATGTACTTATTCACTTGCTCAAAATGCAGGGATCCCTCAAAATGCAGGGATCAATTGGGATGGTTTTAATAGGAATTAGACAAATACATGAAGGATAAGGCTACCAGTGGTTACAAGTTATGGTAGATATTTGCTATCTGCTCATATACAAGAATGGGTAGTGAACATAAACTGGAAGGGGCTACTGCATTTATGTCTTGCTTGGGGGTTTCCTCTGGGCAGCTGCTTGGCCACTGTGTGAACAGAATGCTGAACTTGATGGGTGCTTGGCTGATCTAGCATGGCTTTTCTTATGTCATGCTAAATGACTATTTTGCCTCTGTGTTCTTCCCAAAGCAGGACAGGGGAGAACCACATAGGGGATCAGATTAGAATCACTCCCCTAGAAGTTGAGGAGCTGCTCAGGGCACTGAACGTTACAAAGGCACCAGACCCTGAGAGGTTACACCTGAGAGTAGTTCAGGAATTGGCGGGGGTTCTCTTGTGTCCATTGGCCTCCATTTTTGAGGCCTCGTGGAGAATGGGTGAGATTCCAGAGGACTGCAGAGTGGCATCAGTGGTACTAAGCACTCTGGCAACAGGGACAAGTAGCTTTCACACCACTGTGGGCAGATTGAATTAGTACTTAATAGGGTCGCAAGTCACACCTTCATTGACAGGTCAGCAAATGATACATCATCAAATGAAAAGAAACCAAGTATGCAGGTGTCAACAATCTCTTTGCCCTTCTTATTGCCTTACATTGCTTTGTTTTACTTTTCTTATGATATTTCCCTTTCTGATTCATTGCATTCTACACCAAACAGTTGATGATATCTTTTAACTGTTTATACTGTAAGTTTTGGAGATTTGAAATGGCCTGGGAAGCTAAAGATACTAAAAACTTGTTAATCTTGCCTTATTCCTTATATGTCTCCAAAACATTGGAAAATATTTGTCTACCTAGAAAGTGATGATGGATGCATTCATAAAGACAGCTTTGCTTTACTGCCTATTCGTACAAAAGTTTGGCTGTCACAGGTTTCCTATTAAGACCAAGCATCACTGAAGACCAAGATCTAACTGAGGGCAAGTCTCCTGTATCAGAGAACAGGCACTTGTCCATTGGGACCCTGGAAGTGAGGGAGGCAGATTCAGCAGCAACCTTAAGGCTCCTTCCTGGGTTAAACAACAGAAGCTTTTACTATTGAGTCAAGGCAGTATGAAACTAGACATTGCTACCGCAAACCTCTAGCTTGTACGAACTTCCATTTTATCCACAAAAGGCCATCTTGAAACTCTAGGTGGGCAAACACTCCAAGAACAAAGAGGAAAACAAGATTTCATGATACAACCAAGCTGTTGATCTATGTTAGCAGCAAAGAGTGCAGTAAGAATGGATAGAAGAGAAGTGATAAGCCAACCCAATAGCATCTACAACCCATGAGTTCCATGCCTGCTTAGGTACTTCAGAATGCTTGCTTAATACTCAGAACAGCCAATCAAGCTGCAAACTGATTAAGAAACCAGACTGGAACACTTTAAGTCATCACTGAATCCTGCCATTGTCTGAATTCATCCAGTGTCACCAATAAATGTACTCTTTGCTGACCTCTTTTTATCCTCTGCTCTGTAAATAAGTAGAACATTTCATTTCTTTTTCATTTTAAGAAAACTAGGTCCATACCACATAACAAAATTATGATTTATACTGAATAGGCAAAGCAATTTTCTTAGCAATAAAACCCTTTCTAAAGGAACACTCACCACATCAAACCTCTTTGCAAGTTCCAAGTCATCTTCATTTCTGACCATCTCAAAGAAATCCAAGTGTCTGGAAGGCAGAGAAAACAAACCATGTTTGTAACCCATTTCTTGCTTGCAGTGATGCAAGTTAAATGAGTGGGTGGGGAGAGTTTGCTTTCTACTGAACAGTGGCATAAAAAGAAGTCAGGTGATACCTTTTCCTTAATCCAACTTGGATTGGTGAGTCTACGTTAAGTTTCACAATTTAAGTCTTCCTACAGAAAATGGACCTTGGTGCTTGCTTTGAGTTTTAAATTCAGGGTAGGTAAAGTAGTGAAATTATGATACTTTCATTGATCTCCTGCATCTATCTAATGGTAGGTTGCACTGTCCAAGAAGTGGGTGGTGCCAAAACTCATAAATTACTTAGACAGGATAATGAATTTGCTCATAAAATGATCATTAATCTATTAGCAAATCAAGCTGGTTATCACTAGAAAACAGCATACAGCATTCTGAAGCAGGAATATCTTTTCAGCTGATATGGCTCACCTGTCCAGTGTTGCATTTTCATGTCCTCTGAGCTTGTCAATAACAGGTTGAATACCCAGCATAAGAAATTCATATCGTAGGTGCAATCGAAATTCCAAATTGTCCTACAAGAATGAAAAATTGATCAAGTCATTTGGTTTCAAAGGCTGCATACCACTTCAGATGAAATGAAGGAGAAGACAAAGCTGGGAGGTAAAGTACCCACTGAGGGTACTTTACCTGACTAGAGGTTCAATTCACTCCAGTCAGGGAGACAGATAGCAAGAGTGGGGAAATCCCTGTTAACAACCTTGAGGAGCTGCTGTGAGCCTGGATAAATTATAATGTTTAGGCAGTAGTTTTTGAAGTTCTTGACATGGGTATGGCTGGGCTCTCATTGGTGAAACTGTTGTAGTGAGGGGCCAACTCATTGTTTAAAGCAGGGGTGGGCAATTAATTTTCCTGTGGGGCCACATGATGCCCAGGTCTGGTTTAAAGCATACAGTTCATTACATCAATGATTTTTGTTAGCAATTTCCAACATAAAAGGGGAAAGAGGAAAAACAGCCAGCAGTAGCTCTCTAAGAGACTCACCTCACCAGTACCAGCATTCAAAACAGCATTAATAAAGGACATGATGGCAGTTTTGAGATTCACTTCATCTCGGTATCGCCCAAGGCTGCGGTCTAGCTCATTGAGTAATGACTGTAAAACAACAGGAGTGAGAAAATGATGCATGCTACCATGGTAATACTGTTGCTTCTTAATAGATCTGGAATTTATACTATATCGGCCCTAAAAGCTCAGGAAAACCTGATAAAGACTATGAGAAACACAAATGTAGGACAAGCATTTCTACCTTACGATACCAAGAGTTTTAAGTAGATATAAATCTTCCTTTACAGCAGCCTTATCCAACTTTGTGCCTTCTAGAAATGTTTGGATTGCAAAACCCAGAATTCCCATTAATGTCCCTGCTGGGTGGGAATCCTGGAAGTTGCAGTCCAAATGCCTCTAAAGGCCACCAAGTTGGGGAAGACTGCTTTACAGTATTATTTATGCAAGCTTGCATGCACGCCCATCCTTCAACTGTTTCCAGGGTGGCTTGCAAACAGTTGGAAAACAGAAAAACTAAAACTTAGGTTATAAAAAATTAACAAACTTTTAAAAGGCCAAAAAGCAGAAAAGCCATGTACAGAGGGATAAAATTACTGAGGAAAGAAAAAAGAAATTTTGCCTGGTTCTGAAATTTTATCAAAGTAGGTGCCAGATGAACTTCTTTGGGGAGAACAGTATACAGTTGGGGTGCCACCTCCATTAGGCTTTTCAACTGTAGTTACACATCACCTCTCAGGTGGCAATTCTGCTGAAGGTGTACTGGCAGACACACAGGAATAAACAGACCTTCAGGTATTCCAGCTGCTAGCTCAAAAAGGCTTAAGGGTCAAAACCAACTCTTTGAAATGAACCCAGACAGGAATTAAGAACTGCTGCAGTTGGCAAAATAAAAGGGCATGAAATAAAGATCCAATTCCAATTCCAAATATTAAGTCTTGCGACTTTATTTTGGAAAAACCATGGTGCTCATTGTCTTCAAAGGCTCTTACATTTATAATGCATTGAAGTCATTTAATTAGGAAGCATTTCACCATAAGAACATATATTTCACCATAAACATGCATATTTATTTGGGAAGACATTCTGAGGATACTGTATGTAATCTATTTTTCCCTTTCTAGTTTATCTTTTATTGTTTTGATATTGTATATTGTAATAGGGAATCATAATCATTTTTTTAAAAAAAGAGGCTAATAAATCTGGCTAGCTGTTTAAGGCTAGCTATGGAAGGTGGAGTATTACCCATGGTGCAAATATAATTTGCCACCAACACATACACCTTGGAGCAACAGTTTACCTAGGCAAATAGAATATTATACAGGCTGAGATATGCACACTTTGCTCACATACAAATCATCCCATTGTATGGGATGTATATTATTCATTTTATGTATTCATATACTAACAAAATTCTCAAGTGGTCAAGAAGCAAGGAAAGAGAAAAGAACCAAAATACAGAATTAAAGCATTTAAAATCCAAAATTGATCAGGGAGTGCTTGTTTAAATAAAAATGTCTTCAGCAAGTGCTGGAAACTAAACACAGGTGCTGGCCTTATATCAACACACAGGAAGCTCAACAGGGAGGGAGTCAATATGTTATTCTGAACAGATTCCAAACAGAGCTCAGGGCCATGTGGAACTACCCGGAATGCTTCATCTGATGACCTCAGTGACTGGGCAGCCTGGCAAGAGAGAAGGTAACCTCTAAAATAACCAGGTCCCAAGTTGTTGAGGGCTGTACAGTAGGCATGAGATTTAATTAGTTTAACTGGAAGATCAACTGACTGAAGTATTAATTAAATTAAGGGGCTATTTTAAATTGTTTAGACAAAACAGAATCAGCAGGGGCGGCACAGCCAATCATTAATTACAATTCTAGTGCAATAGGGGATGAGAAAGAGAAAATATTAAACATAGGCCTTTCTGTCTTACAATGTTGCAGATGGGCTGTTTAATAAACATTGGTAACATGCTACAACATTTAGATTTTTCATATTTACATGATCAAGATTAAATCAACTTATTTAATTGGTTAAGTACTTGACAGGGCCGGTTCAGTATGATTTGCAAGTAATATCCTGGTTTCACTTCCAAATGCCAAAGGAGCTTCCTGCATTGGTTACATATGTTTTATTACTTGTACACATCATAGATTTGGTTGTTTGGTAACATCATAAGTGATGAAGAATCCAATATTTTGTTGGCATGTTGTTCAATTTGAAATAGCACCTATACACAAAAAGGGAGACTAAATGATGCCTAGTGAACAAGAATTACTTTCAAAGAGACCAGGCAAAGAGACCAGACTATACTATATCGCTATAGAGTCAGATGGTAACTCAGTCCCTATAGAGTTACACAATTTTCCCTATAGATTCTATAAACTTATTTTAAAAACAGCTTCTTTGGGTTAGTTGGATGGTAAGTGCCTCTTTCAATTAGACAAGGCAGTTGGAAAGCTGAGTAGGTTCACTCTACATCTGATCTCTCTCAGAAGGCTCAGATCATGTGAGCTATTTTTAAATCATTAAGCTAATATTTTATCTTTTCCCAGTGACTAACGTCAACTCACAATCCAAATAGCAACTTGTGCTGCTTTTACTTCTCATTATTTTCAGAAATTCAGAAGTCTGGGACAGGTTCACATCACACTCCTTTAAAAATCAATTGTCTTTGCAGAAGCAGGCATACCAAAACAAATTGCTTACAATATAAAGTCAGTTGATCAACCTATAAAATTCACAAAGGACAGAAATGTTGCATAAGGAATCCTCCCCCCCCCCAATTATTAAGTTACTTGTTACTAGAAATGTATCAATTGATAACACCTATGATTTATATGGCATTGTTTGATAGTTATTCTACAAAGCATGAACTGGGAAGATGGGGCAAGGAGGCTAGTGGCTAGTGAGAGCAGGAGGGGTGCTAAGAACCAAGACCTGGCAAAACCTGAGTCAGTATGATTCCATAAAGGGCCCCTCCATGGAGCCTGCTCTACCTTTGGCCCTTTCCCTTGTTTTCTTACCATCGCTTATACCATTCTCTGAAAAGGAACATCCACCACCCCCCAAGTTTCCTTATGACATTGCACATCCATGTGAAATGTATAACAAATGGATGAATCGTGTAAACATACAAGGCAATGCTTATTGTGATCCACAAGAACTCCTGTCAAAGTGTGTATATGGCTGTACACCCTCCCCATGCATGCACGCACACACGATATTCACATATTTATCTATGTGCTCAGAACACTCCATATGCATCAGTAGAACTTACTTCAATTTGAAATATAAAACAGTGCATCCATCTTCTAGACTAGGACTAAGGCTGAGTGCTCATGATTCACCTTCTTCTATTCAGTATCCTAGGTCAGATGTAATGGTACACTATGGTTTAATATTTCATGAATGTAACTTGGGATGTGTTCCCCTAATCCTTCTCTGGCATCACCTCAAGGGGACTGAAAGATTTTGCTTCAGTTTTTTTTAACAAACTACAGTTCAACATTATTTCCAAACATGGTCAAACTGGAATTGGCCTTACCTATGGTTTACTGAAGCACACCAGGTTCAAACAGTGGTTTATGAAGCTGGCTTTTTTACTGCGGCTGTTTGGATGCGATGTTTAACAATAGTTCAGTGTTACAAAAATAAGTCTAGCTTCCCGAGTGTCATGACTGCCCCCCACACACACACCTTTCCCTTCTTCCTCTAGCAGGGCTACAAAGCCAAACCCAGAAAAACAATGGTTAATCTCAATTGCAGTTAGTTGATTGAGCCAAATTCAAACTTCAGAAAATTAACCACAGTTTAGTGTTCAAATGACATACTGAAGTAGTTTACCTAAAAATGCCAATACAAAAGGAAGAGCAGAGCATGTGACATAGAGGAAGGGTAGACCTAGTGTCATAAAGTTACATCTGAATGAAGCCAATAAGACACTGTTAAGATTAACCTCAGCTTAAAGTTTGGATGTTACACTAAACTGTAACTGATAGAAAATGGAAACCAGAGGAGAAGGAGAATGGAAGAACACATATCACATAACACTAAGCCATAGTTTAATGTTAGATCTGAATAAGGCCAGTAAATTTACACCCGAGATGTTGTAAGAATCAGAGATTTCCAATTTTCCTCCCATCTTCTTAAAAACAGTACCATATGTGGTGGTTGACTTTTTTCCATTTGATTCTGGCAGAAACCTGGTATATAGGACATGGGAACTAGTAGCAATGAGTGAGCAGTTTTCTCTCCTTCCATTGCTTTATTCTTCTGGAATTTTGCTTTCTACTCCTTCCTTCTGGTTTAATGGAGAGAAATTAATTCTGGAACTTGAGTGTCCCTCATGGCTTCAGTTTGCTTTAATTTCCCACGCTTTACACAATTGATTTGCATGTATGCAGTGATGTCATGCACATGCAACCTGTGAAATTTCAGGCACCCTCTTGGGAGGCTCCTGTGCTGACTATACCAATGATTCAGATTACAATGATGAGCCTGTTTAGTGTCCATGACCATAGGGAGGTAGTCAGAATGGTTCTTTCCATGGAAGCTTGCACGGGGCGACATAATCAGAGCTCTCATTCCCAGCTCTGATATCAGAGAGCTGTCTCTGACCTCAGAGTTGTGAATCCAAAATATCCTAATGCCCCTCAGATGCTGTCTAGAGACCATAGGATTGCTCCCTTATCTTTATTACACAGTTTAAAGCTGACTTGGGACTCTCATGCTTTGGCTTCAGTTGAAACACAGTACATTTCACCTCCATGCTACTGCACCCCTAAGCCTGTTCCGGAAACTGTGAATATTACTTCTATATTCTTCCTTAGGCAATCAGGAACAAGACTGCACTTTGTGTTCACTGCTGTCTGAAATTGCCTCTGACCCAAGCTATTTGGTCCGCAACCAAATTCAATATTTTCCCATTTGCTACAACCATTTCTTCAAGTTGTCATTCCTTTGCCCCTTTCTTTTTTGTTGTTTTTGTTTTAAAGGAGAAAGTACTTCAAACGCAGCAATTCAAAGGAAAGCAACTGATTCAACAAGCTGAAGAAACAGCAAGAAAGTTTCCAAATGCCAATTCT